TAGATAAAGTCCTCCCGCTCATCTGACAGCTTTGGCCCTCCCCCAACCATCTGGATCCCTGATACTGGCCCTACACCCACTTAGGGTTGGTTGCCTTCTCCAGAGGGGTGCCTCCTCCATCACCCCCACTCCAACACTACATAGGCAACTTCTCATGACTGGCTGGATGTGTCCCTCAAGTTTTTCTAGAAAAAGACAAGGTGCTTGGATCTTGGAATACATCTTTCCAAAGAACTACAGATTGGTGATTGCAGTCCCAGAAAAACCATTTATTACACATGTACCCACACCAAGCACTAGCAAGTATGAGTGCCGATTCCATAAAGGATCTCCCCACTTCCTATAAGCCCACAAACCAGGCAACAGGACAGAAAGGAGGACTTATGAGCCTTCACACCCTCGCTGACATTGGCTGCCGGCAGACACTTCCCCTCTGAGTTCTTGATCTATAAGGCTCCAGCCTTAGCTGCCCTACAGGCTGAATTTACCCCAAATCTGATCTCTTTCCCATTTTTTATTGCCTAAATGGAATCTCCAGCTGGACCTTCTGGCAACTCCCCTCTGGCCAAACCCACTGTGCTCCAGAGGCACAGGATAGAGGCCCAGGGCAGACGACCAGGAGGCCTGGATTCTGCCACCAGTGACTGAGCCTTCATTTGGACTTTACCATTCTCCTGTGTAAGGATATAAGGGGCATACAAGAAACTACCCATGGCTCCCCTGATTCCAAAGGGAATCAACCACCTTCATTTGCCTTCTCTGCTCCATGCCCCTCCATGCTCTCATGCTGCTAACAATTGCCTCATTCTTTTCCCAGCAAACTAGCACAAAATGTCAGTGTCCAATTTGACTCTTTTCTCCCTCCCTCAAATCGAGTCAGTCACCAAATCCTGCAGGATTTCTTGGCAAGCTCACTCACTTCTATTTCCTCCACTCCATCCCTACTGCCATTGCCTTGATTTAGGTCCTAATCCACTCCAGTGGGTTAGTCCAACAGTGCATGCTCACGAGGAGTTCCTCTCCCCCTCCAATCTGCCCTTCCCAGCCCTGAATCCTTCACAAAGCACAGCTTTCACCATGTCTTTTCCATACTCAAAGACATTTGATGTCATCAGAATAAAATTTAAATTCTCCAGCTTCAACTTCTAAGGCCTTCTGTGATCTCTTCCCTGCCTAAGACTACAGTCTCACCTCTCCTGGTGTCCCCTCCCCACATCACTCCATGATTCTAGCCATGTGGGCCACTCTTCATTGGGCTTGTCCTAGTTTTTCAGGTTCTGTTCTTGTCCCTTCCCTCATCTCCTCCACAAAATAACCTGCCTCTTTCCCCCTTTACTGAGCAAACATTGCAAAACCAGCTAGCTCAAGGCTCCTGTCTGCCACAAACTCTTCCTGAATATCTGCCATGAGTAGGCTGCACACAAGGGCTGATGCAGCCCTAGAGCAGCTCAGAATTTGCAGGGCTTATAGACAGAGATATGCAAATAAAGTGCCTAAGCACCACAACAGAGATCTGTATTTGATCCTGTACATATGTAGTATTAGAGAGTAGAGTAAACATGACTTGGCATTGGGGAAAGGAGAGGTGTTTTAAGAGTTTGATCTGCATCCTGAAGGATTAATAGGAGTGCATTCATCTCAAAGAGCAGAGAACAAAGGGCCTTCAGGAAGAGGAAATGGTGTATGCAAAGACAGAGACGCACAAAGGACAGAAATTGGTGAGGTACTCAGTTTGGGGAACAGTGGAGATGCAGCTGGTGAGCTAAATTATTGCCAGCCTCCACAGAGCCCTGAATGCCGTACCAGGATGTTATACTTTATCCTTTCAGAGAGGCAATCCTAACCCATGTGTGTCTAGCCTTTCCATCTACAGGTGAAGATTACTACACAACAGGGCACATGGTGATTAAAAGCATTGCACACAGTGAATGCTCAGTTGTCAGTGTGCATAACTATGTATGTGACAAGAGGAAATGGAAGTAAGAATCACCAAGGAGCACCAAGTTAGGACTTACCTAGAAGCACTAAACATATAAATTTCCTAAGAATTAGCAGTTCTCTGGAACTTGAAAGTCCTTGGTGCAATCTGGGTCTAAAACCAAAGAGATACTCTAGGATAGCACCTCCCAGATTATTTACCTGGTGTGTGAGAGATAAGAATGGACCTCCTGAAGAGCCACAAGGTTGAATAGGACCTGGCCTTCAGAATCTATGAAGGATACAGCCCACCCTTCTGAGTTGACCTGTGTATTCTGTGAAAGCTGACACACAGGTGCCATCCAGTGTTGAAACCCAAGGATGAGGCCAAGGAATAAAGTGGAACTGCTCTGAGGAAGGAGGAAGCAGGAAAAATACTAAGTCAGGACAGCACAAAACTGCCGAAGTGTTAGCCTAGTTGTGCCTACACCATGCGTGACATCTTTTTTATTTTTTTCTGAGTGTAACCTCTTGAATGGGGGTGCAGACTGGGAACTTAATAAATGCTTAAATGCCTCATAAGTGTGTTCATATTAGCTCTCCCTTCTCATGTTTCCCAACAGAGAATCCACCAGAGGATTTTAAGCAGAGGAATGTCAGTAACAGATTTGTTCATGGCAAACAAATTTCTGATGGCCAGGTAAAACATAACTTTAAATCTTACCCCAAATTGTTATAGTCCTAAGTGCGTGCCATTCCTCCTCCAAAGCTGGATTCTCTCAGAATCATTCTTCCCTCCTACTTAACCTGTGGCCAGTCAAGAGACCGACATGGCCCACTTCCTTGACCCCTGTCCTATAGAATCTCTCAGAATGGGTAGGGTTTACAGGAACAAATTTAAAGGACACATGGACAAAAACTAGGGGGAGGGTGGAAATGGAAGGGAGGTGGGGAGGTTTCGGTGGGTGGGCTGGAATGGGAGTAAAAGGGAGAAAACTGTACTTGAACAATGATTAAAATTTAAAAAAAAGAAAAAATCTCTCTCTCTGGAGTCTCTCCTGTCTCAATGGCCTGCTCTCTCAGACTGAATATAAGGCCTCATCACTTCTGTCCTGAGTGACTTTCCAGCCTCCTATCTGGGCTCTCCACCCCCAGTGTCTTTGCCCTCTGGTCACTGCTTCCCTCGGCACTGCCATGGCAGCCTTCCCACTCAACCCTCATCAAATCACCTGGGGAAAACTTGGTTTAAAACATCCCAAACCTACTTAGTCTGAATAGTTTAAAAGCCCCTCAGGCAATTCTGAGGCATACCAGGTTTACAAACTACTGCTCTAAATCTTTGTTACAGATAGTGAAGGAATCACACAACCCAGGAACAGGTTAGAAATGCAGACTGTCAGGTCGCACCCCTGACCCAGTGATCAGAATCTGCATTTGAACAAGATCCCCAGGTGATTCTTAAGCTTGTTCAAGTTGAGAAGCACTGCTTGTAAGTATTGTCTGACCATTCATGCCAAATATTTACTGGATTTTCTCCACATCACAGCAGGGCTTGGGAAGGTGGGAGGGTGTAGGGTGAAGGGCCTTGACTTTAAGCTCTCAGAAACATCCATCCTTCCCCTGTCTAAAACCTGTTATTGGCTTCTATGCTTTCAGACAATGTCCAGACTCTGCACCTGAACTTCATCTCCTGCTGGGACCATGTTTTTCATCCTTGTCAATTTTATTGTTTACCTCTAGCCATAGGGGCCCACCTGGGCAACTTGTCACTTCTCAGGGCATGGCACCCCCTTCCTGAAATTACCCCAGATTTTCCCTGCTCAGGTGAAAGATGGGAATTCCCACAACTCTGTTCATACCTCCTTCATGGAACCTGGGATAGCTACCCCAGTAAAGAAGAGACCACGATGCTGTGTGTCTCCCCAGGAGCAATAAACCATAACTGGCACATCATCACATCTCAGTCATAATAATTGTGTTAAATCATTGCCCACTTCAAAGTCATTTAAACATGAATACAAGCAAAATACAAATGGGTTGCCTCTCTTAAGCCCCAAAGAGAAACACAGTCTCTAAATCAAATAACATTACGTGTTTTCCATATACAAATAATAACCAAAGGCTGAACGTGGTGAAGATGAATTAATTATGTTTACCGCCAACTAGCTTTCTGGAGTTGGTCATTTAAATTCACAAAATGCAACATAAAACTGGGACACACTTCAGATTTGTTAATACAATTAAGGAACTGGGAGAGGAAGGAGAAGAAGAGAAAGATAGAAGCAATTCAAAATTGGAAATGGAGACCAATCTATACCAAACATCCAGCGGCTGAAAATGTAAAAATATAATGCTCTGGATTTTTTTTTTGTTTTTTAAGGATTAAACACCGACTAGAATGCCTGTTTTAATCCTACCCAAACTTTGAAAGTTCTGATCTTTAGATACATAATTTTATTTTTATCTGCGGACAAATTGTAGAGTCTAGAGTCAGGATGTCAGGGGAGAGAGGAGGAGCCCACTTTCAAATAGGGCCACCCCTTCTTACAGTTTACTGGGGGGCATGGCTTGAGACTTTCAAAGGCATGTTGCATTTTTGCAACTACAGTATAGAGTTAGTCTCAGCCAAGGCTTTGCATCTGGATACATGCTCCGTCAAACACGGATTTGCTTGGGCAAACAGACCATAAAATTCCTAACCACCTTGAGCTCTCTAGATTACGCTGCTGCTCCAGGGGACAGAGCAGAGCTCTGACATACCACACAGAATTTAAGTGACCAACCACCCAGAGCATCTCCGGGGCATCCTAGCACCTGTAGGAGCGCAGACTGTCCGTGGATCCCAAGAGATTCGGAACAAATCTATAGGAATTATACCCTCCACATAGTCTTCTGGGCAGAGAAAGAGAAGTGGGTCCCCGCCCTCGTGCCCGGGACAGGCTCTGGGACCTATACTGTCACTGACCTCTCCTCCCGCGGTGGTTCTAGGATCTGGGGGCTCTCCGTATCCAGGCAGTGCCCCTACGGGCGCTCCCAGACCGGACAGCGCAGCGGGCCTGGGAGCCTTGGGAGAGCCCACTGACCTGCGTGAAGCGTTCCTCTCCGGGCGGCTCAGGTGTGCGGACCGCTCCCGGGTCCCTCCCACTTCCGAACATGAGAGTTGAGAGCCGAACTGCAGGCCACTGACCCACCGACCAACTGACCGACCGACCTACGCGCGGACTGACCGGCGGCGGCCGCCGGGTCTGGAGCCCACGTGACGGGGGCGGGGACCCACGGGAGGCTCGTCCCGGAGCACCCGCTTCCCCCGCCTTCCTTCCCCTGGGACCGCCCCCTGTCGCTCCCGGACCCCTCCGACACCCTTGTGAACCGCAGGGACCGGTCCGCCCCAGGTTCCGGTTCCTCAGGGACCGACCTGGTCAACCCCGCCCCTTCGAACCTGCGTTAGCCCTTGTCCGGCTGGCCCAGACCCCGCCCTCTAGACCGCACTCCAGGTTTCCAAGCCCCGCCCCCTCCTAAAGCCACGCCCCCTGGAGCCGGCCTCGGCTCCTGTCACCTCCCTATCCCTCGCCCTTTTCGCCCCGGGGAGTCAGTGGAGCAGTTCCCGCTCTCAGTCCCCTGGGCTTCGCCGGCTCTTCAGTACCATTTATCGGCGGAAAGGAATGAAAACAGGGAAATAGAAAATTTGAGTCGCGAAGTGCAGAAAGAGAGAAGCCATAAAAACACCAATTAGAGGCACACTCAGCGCAGCAACCCTTTGGATATCTGGACTCCCGGACCCGTGCAATTCTGTCCAAATTGAGGTTGGCAACGGGAAGGCTCGTTCCTCGTCTCTGACTTCCCACCCCACCCCCACCGCCCTATCCTCGCCCCTCAATATGGAAGGCTCTGAGGCAACTTAGGGTCCGCCCGCTTGAACCCCTCTAGCTGGGGTGGAGGTCCCTCTAGTGGTCAGCGCCAACTGAAGGCACTGGTCCCCAATCTTATGAACAGCTGAGCACCAGAAGCACTTCCCTGTGCGCGGTACCAAGGCTGGAGTACAGAGGCCCAAGAAAAGCTTTACCGGTCCAACCAGAGGAATGGATTCTAGAATCTGGGCAGGACTGGGCCCTGAAGACCTAGTCCAATGCCTTCCGCCAGTGTGTGGCCCGAATCCCCTTTGGTTGTACTGCTAGTCGTTGCCCCACCTAGACCTCCAAGGACTAGTTGCTCATTTCAGCTGATTAAAATCCCTGTGGGCCTCAGATGGCATCCACATCGGGGACTCTGGCCTAGTCCCCAGCTCTGGCAGGAGTCATTACAGCCCTGGCCTCAGTTTTTTTCTCTACGTTTCTTCAGGCTGAAGTGTTGACAAACTCCACAAGACACATCCTTTTTTTCCCAAATTACCCTGGTGGTCTGAAATTACCAGTGTACTCAGAAGTCTTTTACATGTGAACAGAACTTAAGCCACCCTGGCAAATATGAGACTCTGGTCACTGTGGGAACCTGGCCAGAAGCAGACTAAGGGCAAAGCCAGCTGAGGAAGGCTGGGGCCCACAAGAGTTGTGTTACAACAGGACACCCTTCAGTTCTCTTTCACTTCCTTAAAATAGCAGCAGAGGCTTTTGTAGATGAGGCAGCCACAGTTCACATGAATTCTTGGGTATTCCCAAATCCCACGTCACTGCTCCAGTGGACCCACTGCCCAGACGCTGGACCCCAGAAAATGCTGATCCATTCTCAGAATGATGCAATTAATTTTTTACAATCACTTTTTAAGTCACTGGCTCTTCAGCTTATTTGCACTTTAAAACCACTTTGGAGGAGGGGACTTAAAAATGCGTCTGGGTCCCACCTCCAGAGGTTCTGATTTGATGGTCTGGGCTTATGGCCTGTCATTAGGATTTTAAAAAGCTCCTCAGGTGATTCTTATGTGCAGTAAAGTTTAAGGACCATCAGTATAGGTCATACGGACTTCAATCCAGAGTAAAATCCAACAAAAACCCCAGAGCTGAAAGGTAATTCACCTGGAGGAAGCTCCAAAAAGTATACAAAAATGGCACATTAACAGGGGCTTCCTGGAGAAAAATGTCTTGACCTAAAACAGTGATTCTAGCTGCAGGACTTTAAGGTGCCAGAGTGCATTGTTAGTGAAAAGTACACCCTGAAAAACTATTAATTCAAAGCATATCACAAATGAAAGTCAACTTCTCTGTGCCTCCAAAGCAACTATGTGCCTGGGACTCGCACATGACTCCACTCGCTAATAACTATGCTCTACCCTCCTCTGTGAGGCAGCTCACATTCCTTATCCCTGTGAAATAGGTAATCTTCTTTTACCTATAGGGTAGGTAATGTCCCCAAACCCTTGGAGAGGATAATACCATCATGTTTATTCATAGCTGCTTCATTCCACAGTGGATTTGGCTTGCTGTATTGCTTTATTAGCACGGTGGGTAATTGTACTCTATCCATGAAGTGAGTAATTCTATTCTGTCAAAGATCTACTCAAATACTAAAGCTGGGGGAAAACCTCTCTTCACTGCTTGTGGCCCTGGCCTGAGCCTGGCAGAGTCTGGAAACAGCTGCAAGTGTACAAAGCAAGCCCTCTCATGTGACCAACCTGGAAAGACAGAGGCCTCAGCACATGACACAGACTGGCACCACAGCCCACACTTGTGACCCAAACCCAGGCTGAATTGGACAAACGTGTGGGAAAGATTTTGAAGGAGCCCTGCTGGCCCAGCACAACTGCCCTCCATCCCCTGTGGCACATGGCATGCCTGCTGTGGCAGGGAGTCACTTGGAGGCTCTCTGGCTTCCATCCAGAGTCAGAATATTTACCAAGGGCCTCAGTGTGTCGGGGATTGCTCACGGTAAGCCCAGGCCCTGAAACTGCTTTGCTTGAAGATATGTAGGCAAATATACCCTGATCCGATTTGTTTGCTTAGTGTCAGTTTTATTGTATCTCAAGCAAGAAGAGAGATGCAGGGAAAGTTAGACAAGAGGAGGCTAGAGGTAGGGTCCTCACCCTCAGGCTGGTATTCTGGAGCAAGTAGCTTTTGAAAAGCCTATAGGAAGGTCTTATGTGGACATGAAAAGTGGTTAAAGGGGCAGACCATTATTTTTAGTATAAAATGATGAACATATTGCTTATAAAATTTTGATTAACAAACATACATACAAGGGGGGACCCCAAAAACTGCAATTTATTTATAAAAAATTGTGTATTTATTCTTACATGTTTAAACTTCAGGCACCTTCAAAGTACTCTCCATTTGATACAATACACCTATCAAGACATTTTTCCACTGCTCAAAACAGTTTTTGAACTCGTTGATTTTGATGCTTTTTAATGCTTCTGCCATTTGTTTGTTTCACCTCTTCCGCATTGGCAAAACATTTCCCTTTGAGATCTTGTTTCATCTGGAAAAACAAAAAAAAAAGTCCCTTGGGGTGAGATCGGGTGAATAGGGAGGGTGGGGCACCATGGTCATGCCATCTTAGGTCAAAAACTGCTGAATACTCAGTGTGGTGTGGGCCAGTGTGCTGATAAATCACTCATCATGAAATAGATAAACCCATTGACAGGGTCTTCAGAAAAATTCCCTGAAGCCAAACACAGCCTCTGACAACAACACCAATTGGTACACTGATACAGATGGATTCCTAGAACATTTACCTCATGGGGTGAAGCATGTACTACAAGGGGCCAGCCCTCCAGAAGATAATTCCTGTTTTTGGGGGGTCCTCCCTTGTATTTGATGCTTCCTTGGGCAATGAAAAAATGATGGGATTTGCAGTATTTAGCTCTAAATTTTATTTTGTAGCTGTGTTACTTTGAATGGCTCACCTAAGCTTGCCTCATCTCTAAAATGGCAACTACAAAGATTTGCTCCACATACAAGACTAAGGTAAGAATTAAGTGATGTAACATAGGTACAAACACTTCATGCCTGGAAAGTGGTATTCAAATGTTAATGTAGTTACCTTATTATTATACCTATCTAGCTAGATGGAGGGGCAGAGCTAGGGAAAATCGAGATTAAACATCAATAAAAAATAGTACTTTAGATGGGGAGTAAAAATAGAAGAATATCAAAAGGCATTTGTAAAAGAGGAAAGAGTTTGAGCAAAGGCCAGAGGAGAGAAAAGCCAGGAGTATTAGGGGTGGCCCACATTTCTAACTGCTTGGAGGGGAGTGGGGAGTGGAGTTAGAGTAAATGCTAGTAAAAGAAAAGGCTGGAAGTAAGCTAGATCAGAATGTGGAAGGCTTTGAGTGCCAGGAGGTTTGGATGGGTTAGAATTTGTTGAAATTTCTGAATGACAGACTCTCATTCAAGCTCTTGGAAGGTCTCTAAGGCAGTAACATCAGGGAGAATACACATGCATTTTGACTTCTAGACCTTATCACTGTATGTGATTAGAGGGATTCAATACTGTAAAAGGGGCTGTGGCATCTATGTCCTCAAGAGCAGCTTTCAGGGCCAAGGCCTCTCCCTCCTGGAAGTAATGCATTACTTTAGAGGCTGCTTTCTCTTTGTCTGGAGCTTGTAAATGATCTGGTTTCCATCATTCCAGGCATAGAGCTGCTTATCTCTGGCATTGTAATGGATCATGGAGTGACTTCTTGGCCGCCTGGGAAAGAACAAGTTGGGCAGATCTTCCTCTCTGATAGTGCCTCGTGGGTCATAGACACAGGTGATACGATGCAGGCCATGGCCACCAGAACTATAGACCACGTAAAGAACCCCACACAAGAGGAACGCAGCTTCGGCATCCTGGCTTCCACATGGAGTGTCCCATGAGTGTTCCACTCCCAGTGTGCCAGGCTCAATTTTGGTGAGAACCAAATGGCCATGGATGCCTGGCCCTGAGTGGATGGCCCAGAGCCCGTGCTCATCCACAGCCAAGTCAATGTAAGTTGATGGGGAGTGCTGGTAGACCAGTGCTCGGCCTGCTCCTCCCGGGAGCAGCATTCGGTCTTCCACAGTCCTCTTCTGCAGATTGTATTTGATTATCTCATTGGGAGTTCCTTGGTTATGAAAAAATAGGAAGCCTTGGTAGATCACTTGGCCTGTTCCCTGCCAGGAATGTGTTAAGATGAGCTTCCGGGGGCCTGGCTTGGTGCTATCCTCCATGAGCGCCCGCATGTTTGCAAATTCCCAAACAGTGTTGTTTCTGGATCCAATTAAGAGATAAACCTTGGGAGAGTTGCTGACAGCATCCTTCATCCAAGAGCCATGTGTGTCCACAGTCTTCTTCACTATTTTCAGAGACTTTATGCCTGTTAACATGTTGTCACAGCCTGGCCAAACAGGAGAAAAGGGAGGTTACTTTACAAACATGAGGTGTCTGCTTTTCTCACAGATGGCTTTCTACCGCCTTTAATGTCTAGAATGAAGTTATCACATATAGATCAATGACAATTTATGGTATGATTCAAAAATCAAAGAATTAAATCACCAAACAGATCTCTGCTAAGTGAGTGGCTGCACACGTAGAAGAGTCAGCCTGTTACTCATTAGGACAGCTATCTGCTGTCAGAGGCCCTGTTCAGGCAGGGGTGTCCAACCGTTTGGTGTCTCTGGGCCACACTAGAAGAAGAGTTGTCTTAGGCCACATATTAAATACATTGTGACACATAATCACACACACACAAAATCTCATAATGTTGTAAGTAAATTTATGATTTTGTGTTGGGCTGCATTCATAGCCATCCTGGGCTGCATGTGGCCCCTGGGCCAGGGGTTGGACACACCTTCCTGGAGCACTTTGAGGTTGACACAGGTGTAACTTAGGTGTGAAGCTGCCTATTTCAACTCCACTTGCCAAGATTTTATTGTGTATCTAAATCTCTGTGTTCTTAGTGTGTAATGCTCCCAGAACAGTGCTAAATATTGAGGGTAAAAAACTATATTTCTGACACTGCCATGAAAAAAAAGTCATGCCTCAGTTAGGATAAGAGACATTTGAAACAAAACCAAATCACCCCAAATAAGCCCAGCCTGGATCACAGATCTATTCAATCCCTTATTCAAACCCTCAATCACAGATCCATGAGAATAAATGATTATTGTTTTAAGTCACTCAATTTGGGGGTTATTTTTTCCACAGTATTTTTGAAGCAACAGATCTCTTTTCTACTCTATGCAAAATCTCTCTGTCTCTCTCTGTGTCCCTCTCTGTCTGTCTCTCTCTCTCTGTGTATATACACGCACATACAGGATGGGGCAAAAGCAGGTTTACGATTGTGAGTACATGAGACACAAACATTTATTCTTATATTATTATTTATTAATTGTTGCATTATTTTCCATACAAACAACTTTTTCATACATATGTATTTTCCATATAATACAAAAGTAGGTTTTCCATATAAACCTACTTTTGCCCCACCATATATTATATAAAATCAACCCTATACCTTCGGGAGATCATCTTCTAGTGAAGGATTCTGGCCCTTAAACTACTATAGCATCATAAGAGCTCTATTCATCCATTTGTTTATTTATTCATGAATGTATTCATGCATTTAGTCAGTAGACATTGGATACCTACAAAGGCAAGATACTGACCCAGGTGTTATGAGCTGGGGGTGCAATGGGCTGAGGTACAATGATAAATTAGGATTGCTTCTTGCTTACTATTACTAACTAGAATATAAAGCTTAATGTGAAATTTCTTGCACAAGAAGAACAGAGAACAGAGATGTCATTTGAGGCAGAGGTTAACCTTCATTTGAATTGGCCCTTGAAGGATGACATTCTGAGATAGTGGGAAGAACATTCCTGACAGTTAAAAAAAAACATATCTGGGAAAGTCCTCCAAGATTAGTATTAATAGGTAACATCAAATTTAAACCAATACCAACTAAGTACTTGATACTGCCTCAAATTAGATGCATAAATCAAAGCAGTACAGTAGATTGAAACCAGCTCTGTGCCTGGAATCTCAAGGGTGGGGCTAAGGAAGATGGATTTTATTCTACTGGCACATAGGGAGCTACTGCAGATTTTGAGCAAGAGTGAGCAATGGTCAAGGCTGTTCAACAGGATTAATTAAGTTGGCAGTCATGTATGCTGGGTACACGAGAGAGGCAAAAATCAGGGAAACCAATTAGAAGAATATTTCAAAAGTTCAAACAGGATGATTAGGGCATAAACTACATTGAGGAAGATGAAATGAAAAGAGAGGTTCATATTTTTCTAGCTCCTCCTTGCCACTTCCACTGTCCAGACTATTATCCTTCCACTTTGATGCAAAAAACCTTCTGTCTTTGTATCTCATGCTATCAACTCCTTCTAGTCTAAATCATTGAGTATTTTCCAGGACACTCCCCCATATGTGTGAAGAGCCTCTGAGCACCTCAACTTCTTCGACTCCACGGCACCTTACTTTCAAACCGCTTCAGTAACCTTCTCCCGTGGTCATACTCTGGATCCCCCCACCCCCAGAGCTGCTCCATATTATCCATCTAAAGCTCTAACATCCTACCTTCTGCCACAATAACATCTAATCCTTTCATTTCTCACTCCTTTGCTCTCACCTCCTCTGCTCTTCCATTTCCTCATGCCGCCCCATCCCTTGACCTCTACTCTCTCCCAGGCCATCAGCCCTCTCTTGGCGTCACTTCCTTTCCTATGCATCCTAGACCTCTGTAACAGCTCTCTGAGCAGCCCTATCACCTGCCAATCCCTAGTTATTCCACCATATTCACTCTACAAAATTCAGTTCAGACATCTGCCTTTGCTCTGAAGAGCTGTGTGTTGGTGGAGAAAACCTTACAATGGTGCATATTGGTACCACTACACATTAGGGGTCTCCAACCTCAGCTGAGCCCTAAACACAATACTGCTTTTCATGGTTAGCCCTCGCCTCCCCATCTTCCACATAGCAGCTATCTTTTCTTAATTGTATTTTTTTCCATTACCATTTATCCCCTTTATACCCTCTCCCACTTCCGCTGACCTTCCTCCCCACTATAATCACCATATAACAGCTATCTTATTGATAAATCCCCCCCATGACCATCCCATCATTCCTTTCAAAACAACAGATTAACGCTTTGAAAAATAAACACCATTAGACATGAACTCCCTTCACTTCCTTTCCCTCACAAACTTTTCTCTAGTTGTTCCTACCCTTGTTACCCTCCCACATGTCTTAGAAGAGGCCATGTCATTCCTCCTGTCCAAGACTAATATATTCACTGTGCTCTGGCCTTGCCCTTTCCTAGTTTTTCCTAGACCTCCTTGATGAATTAGCACCTTCCTGTTATCTTGACTTTTTCCTTCACTACGAGTACTTTAGCTTATAAACATTTTGCCTGCATTAAAAACCATTCTCCCTCAACAGGCACCCTCTTCTGGTTAACTTCACTAGATTATCTTACAGAACAGTCTGTACTCTCTGTACCTACTTTCTCACCTCCCATTCTTTCATGTCACCATAACTTCACAGAAACTACCCTTCATAATGTTCCCAGGCACTTCCCAGCTGAAAAATCAGACCTTTTATGTCTATATCCTATTTGACCTTTCTGAAGCATGACATCATGATCAGTTCCTCCTTTCTGAAGATTTCTTTCTCCTTGAGCTTTGTGTCACCACTGTCTCTGTGTGCCTACTTGTCTTTTCTCTGTCTGCTCCTGGCAGAGACAATGTCTGTATGTGTTCATCAAATGCCACTTCATTTTCCTCATCCCTAGTTACACATTTGCAGCTTCCTTGTTTTTAGGCCACACCCACTGACTGGCGTTCTGTCCCGCAAGATGTGGACAGAAGTGGTGTAAGCCATTTCCACCTGGCCCTAAACATGTTATTTTCCAGATGACCTTAGAGTCTTAGAATTTTGGGTCAAGATGAGTTCTACTGATCATTTCAGGAAAAGTGGGTCATCAGTTCTAATTAAGGACTTGATGTTGGGACTGCTCTGTTAGACAGTCTATTGTGAGGTGAGTAATGTCATGGAGACAGGGAGTCCTGGTCTTTCTAAAGAGCATGAAGAACCCTGTGGTCTCCCTGAAATCCTGATGAGGTCTGTACTGTGGACAGAAGAGGATGGTCTGAACAAGAGCATGGAACTCTATGGGATTCCCTCACTGACTGGAGGGTGAGGTGGTAGCATGATAGACGTGTATAACCATCTCTTAAGAAAAATGGGCTCTCCTGAAGTCCTTCCACAGGTTTTGGTATAAAAAGCTGTATGTGTCAGTGGGTTGTCATTTTCTGCTTAATAAATGCTTGGGTTCTATAGGCCAACTGGAGGTTGTCTAGAGCTAGAGGACAAAAAACAGGTGAAGGGAGAGAAACTGGACACAAGGAAGAAAGGTGCACAGAGAAGTCCCACAGTACAGGTTGTGAGGTAAGTAAGAATTTTAAGCAAACTATTTGTTACTGTCAGATGTTTGGGTAAAAATTCTACCATACTTCCTTAATCAAGACATCATCCTCCATTATCATACTTTCTCTTTCCTTAAGCCTCCATCATTCCCTTCTTGCTCTCATGAAGTTCTTGCCTCTTATTTCACTGCAAAAATAGGAGCAATCTGAGAACTACATCTCTTACCTAAGTTACTGCAATAGACTCCCACATGGTGACCACACCTCCATTCTTGACCCCCATTGTCCATTTCCAGCCAAAGGGAGTTTCGTAAAACTGTAAGTCACATCATGTCACATGTCTGCTCAAAACTCACAAGTGACTTCCCATCTCACGGAGAGTAATGCTCAAGGTTTTGCCTTCGGGGGCATATGTGAGCTATTCCCCTCACTGCCTCTCTGATCTTGTCTCCTACAACTCTCCTGCCTTGTTCATTTTGTTCAGCCACACTGGCCTCCTTACTGTTCCTCAAATTGTGTCAAGCTCTCTCCTGCCTCAGAAATTAGACACTTTTTGTTCCCTCTGCTTGCAACTTAGCTATCTTCCCCAAGACATCTACATGACTTCCTCTCTTGCTTCCTTTACAGCTGTTCTCAAATGTTCCCTGATCATTAAAGCTTTTTCTGACAACCTGATAAAAAAAAGGCAACCTTTTCTCTAGCTCTCCATACATAGCCCCTTTGCCCTAGTTAATTTTTCTCAAGAGTGCTTCTTATCTTCTATCTGACCTATTATAAATTAATGTTTACATTTATTGCTTGACTGCCATCAATAGAGTGTAAACTCCATAGGGACAGGAGCTTTGTCTTACTGCCCATTCATCACTGCATGTCTTGCCCCTTGGATAGCAACTAACACATTGGCCACTATTTACTGAAGGAAGGGATGAACAAATAAATGAATGAATGAATTTACCAACCACCA